TTTTTTTTTTTTTGCACAAAACCACCAAAACAAATGTTGTAGCAATCTTTTAGTATTTCTTAAGATGTTTTCTGTTGACAGTCCTGACATAGTGCTAGTTCCTAACACTGGGTTGCATATAAAAAGCGCCCCCTCTCTCCCGTGTACTGTACTGCACTGTTGACAGTCCTGACATAGTGCTAGTTCCTAACACTGGGTTGCATATACTTCTACAGCGAGTCCTCTTTCTCTGGTCCAATCTGTTACTGGTCAAATATCCCTAAGTCTGAAAACAGAGTTTAGAGAGGCTCAAATCTAAACCTCCCCAGGACCTCTGGATTTGTGTTCAGGTTGTTGTAGAATTTCTTGACAATAACACTGGAATTTAAGTGGCTCACTGCTTCACTTCTAAAACCTTTGAAAAAGCTCCCCCTCTCTCCCGTGTACTGTACTGCAGGAGATAAATTGGGAACAGATTCTCATTCTCTGGATGAGTTTTACACCATGCGTCTTGTAGTGTTTGTGTGCATTGTGTTTAAAATAAAATTGAAACACAGTGTCAGAATAAAGACAACATTGTGTTTTAACATCCCGTTATCATTTAAAGACCTCTTTGCACAGAGTGATTCTTATGCAGTCATATTTATCTTGTACGTTTCAGCACTAAAGGTCAGTTCAAGATACCTTAAGATACTGTGAGTCACAGGCAACATTTGTACTAGAACTTGCGCAATGTGATAACCTTAGATGACAAACAAGCTGTGCACCTGTCAACCCCACGAACTGCACATGTGCCCAAAGAAAACCTGTTAAAGGATAATCTGGATGTTGATGGTGTGGTCAGCTGGTGTGTAGGCCAAAGGTACTGCAAACTTAGAAAGAGATAAAACCCCAACAATAATTTCTGGTTCTGGTTCTAAAACAATCTTAAAGAAACCACTGTGAGGCAGCAGGAAACTTGTTATAAATCTGACTCTGATAGTACAGGACGTTTGGTGCTTTTTTTCTATTACCTTCAAAGTTTAACAAGCCTCCTCTGTGACCAAGCTGACCGTAGTATGACAAGTGGCTGAATCGTAAAAGCTACTTGTTTTTTGCTCACATAGGACTGAACATAAAACGTAGGAACGTCTTATATATAACATCTTTACTTTCAAATGATGAAAAAAAATAATCCAACTGATTTCTATTTCTTATCAGAACCCTGTGCAACCGACTGGCTTAGTAATAACTGGTTGATTTAGGATACACCGACACATTTACAAAGACACATTTTAACAACATCAACCACTCCATATCAACAACTCTCCAAAGGTAAGTGCCAGCAAGGATTAATGAAAAACAAAAGTCAGTTCCAATCCATTTCAATCTGTACTTTATATAAAGCCTCTAAAGATTAACTTAGTTCTGAAACATCACCAGGCAGCATGAAAAAATAAAACAGATGAGTAAAATACATATGGATGAGATTTCATCATCTTGTTGATAACACTGTACTATGAAAGATCCTGACACACTGAAGACAGGAATCTTTGTTGGGAAATTTGGGAGTCTCCCTCTAGTGGTGATTAGCTCAAAGTTGTGTAAATCTGTGTGTTAGAGTGATAGGTCTGGTCAGATAATGATTAGGTATAAATCTGTAATAGGGTTGGGGTGACCAGCATTTCCAAGTTAAAAACTTACTACTACTGATAATAATAATAATAATAATAATAATAATAATAATAATAATAATAATAATAATAATAATAATAATAATAATAATAATAATAATAATAATAATAATAATAATAATAATAATAATAATAATAATAATAAATACAGTAAAGGCCATTTGACCTAAATAAAATAAAAGCTGCTGTTATATTTTGTGTATTTTTAACTAACAATAATTAGTTATTGATTATTTGAGGAGACCGTACATGTGTGTAAACGTTCCTTCTGTTCGTGAAATAAAATATTAAGGCAAATACTGAACAAAATAAATGGAATATCATGTTTGTTTGGGGTTTTTTTCTTCCAGTTCAGTCACTCGACTAGTGATGGCTCATGACCCGACCTAACAAAAAAAAAAGTCTTACTTTTTCAGTAGTTTCACGGAGGCTGAAACTTCTACCTAACAATGATAAAAAGGGATGTGACCCTTCTGAAAAAGCGGTGGTGTTATTTTTGATTTCAGTTTGTAGTAAACGGTCACGCAACAAATTCATTTAAACATGTATTGAACTGTGGACATTAAATTGATCGTAGTACTTTGTGTTTTATTGTAGCGAAATCAATGTAAAGTATTATTGGACTAGCAGTTACCAAGTAACAGTATGTCCAAAAATAACACACGTGTTTGACCAGGAAATAAAAACAGTTGAACCAAATGTTATGACGAGGGACATTTTAATTATAAAGAAAAGAAAAACCATCCATGGTTATTTACAATGAAAGCCTCAAGAAAAAAAATAAGTGCAAAGTTACAAACACAACCCACAAATACCAACACACACACACTCACACACACACAGTGTAGAGATATACAGTATATACATAAGAAAAGTAGGGCATATCAGACATGGTCCTTCAACACAGAGGTTGGAGTCATTTATGAGAATTTATTTGATAAATTATTATTTATTTTCAATTGATCTTTGACGATACTCAAAATATGTCTATGAGTATCTGTGAAACTATCTTCATGACTGAGGTCACACCCTGGCCAGCTGTGTTCACTGCAGAATTCATGGAATAACTGGTCTGTGCCGAGGGGTTGGGAATGTTCATAAACTTCTTTTTCCGCTGGTGAGATTGAAGGAAATCTGTGTAAATGTGGGCTATTAGTCCAACATTTTCTTTGACCATTCAAGAGCATTCACATATAATCCAGTAGCTCTGTTATATGTGATTTACTGCATTTTATATCCAAGAGACAATCTTACAACAAACTCATAGTGTGCGTCAGTGCAAATCTTTAAAGAGAATCCTAAAGATCACGGGTCCTTTGGTTCAGACTGGCTCTTTTTATTTGACTACTTTTCAGACTTATTTTATTTATTTATTATTTGAATAATATTATTGCTACATAAAACCTGCAAAACATACTTAGATCTAGTACTACAGTACCTGTACTTGGGTATTGGTGCAAATATATAAAAGTTATGACTGAGTGCAGGGAGAGGTTTGCTCACGTGTGAAGAGTATTATGTCGTATCAGTCCAAGTTTATACAGTATATACAAAATAATGTCACTTGAAGGCGAGATTGTTGCCTAAGGGATCTCGCACCATACAGTTTCCATAACAACCACCGATGTGATTGTGGCTCAGGGCCTATAAGCCCAAAAGGCCGGGTTTCTGAACGGAGCGTAAGGGCAGTTGTTGTGACAGGCACACGAGTGGATCAACATCACTGCTCTCTTAACCATGCGGCCCGAGAAGCAGCGGAAGGTCACCTCAGTGGTGGAGGTTTGCTGAGGAGTGCAGCAGCGAGAGTCGGTGCACTGACCACAGTATTTCAGGCGGTAAGTGCGCGTGCTATAGCAGCCGTGGTGAACGAGACGGATGGGCCCCGGTGTTGTGTAGCTCTCCTGGCACTGCCCCTGCTGTCCCCACTAAAACAAACAGGATTATTAGCCACAGTCACACTGTACGACGAAGAAGCACCACAGCAGCAGCCACGTCAGTTCAATAACCAACCACAAGGTGTGTGAGAACAACTGAACTGGCCTGACTCTCCCACTATAAAACTTTATTAATATTTTATGATTACCCCTGTTCTAGGCACTCAGTTCTACTGTGTAGTACCAGTGCTGACCAGCAGGGGTGGACTTATTTCAACATCACCTTATTCATTTTAATTCCAGTCAATCCCATTCCATTCACATTTTTTAATTATGGTCAATGAGTCAATCCCATTCCAACCATTCACATTTTTTAATTATGGTCAATATAAAGTTTCTCATTTAGCCAAACCGTTTTGTTTTTGGACTGTGGTAGGAAACGGCAGCACCCAGAGAAAAGCCCCGCACAAATGAGAAGAAAACGCAGAGAATTCCAGACAGAAAGACCAAGGATAAATGATTTGTGGTTAACAAAACTAAAAATAGATAAAAAAATCTAAATCTAAAAGGTTTTTTTTTTTTTTTTTTTTAGATCTGTGCTATGACCCAATTTCCTGTTTCCACACGCACACTACATTAGAAGTGAACATCGTCACAGTCCACAGGAGCTGGTCAGCCTGCTCTGCTGGACAGTGGCAAGTGTTTCTCACTAAGTACAGGAAGAACAGCAGACCAATAATGAGAGTCTGTCTGGGCCGGTGCCTGTTTGTGTTTGTGAAGTAGTTTAATTTTAGATTCGGTTAACTCCTGCAGGAGCGCTGCCTCAAACACACATTCACAGTTCATATTGTTCAGACCACTGTGTCGGTCATGTCATCACAGCCACAGAATAACATCACTTTTCTTGTCTTTTATGTGCCACCACAGCAGACAGTCTGTTTTTAAAATATCTTAGAATTCTATGTTCCAAACCCAAAACTAAAAATATTTTTGTTTTGTTTTGTTTCTTTTTTTAATGTTGTTCCCAGTTTATATGGTTAGATTGATAAGTGATCTGCTATTACAGACATTAGCATCAATTCTCATCAATGTTGTCATCATGTCTGATTCTGTATGTTATTGCTCTTATTTTTAAATTTCATTGGTCGAGATTTTTTCAAGGAGTTGTTGAACTTGAATGTGTCAGAGGAAATTAAAGAGAATCTAGTAACAACAATAAAGTGGCCGATGTGTGGACTGGTACGTGTGTGTCTGTGTCTCACCATGTGTTCACCAGGTACAGGTGGACCGCCGCTGCAGGGCCGCACTTTACAAAGCCGAGTCTCCAGCTGCAGCTTGCAGGCTGAGTTCTGGTTGGAGACCCGCGTGGACACTCCTGCACCGCAGCTCTGGGAGCACGGAGACCACTGCGTGCTCTGCTCCACACAGGGGGAGGCAGGAAGGACCAACTTGTTCTGAGGGTGACTCCTTGGCAGGGAGGGCCACCACCTGTCCGGCCTCATGGCTGGTGGAAAAAAAAAGACAAAATTTAATAGTATGCAGGTAGACAGAGGTTCTGTTTATGAAGTAACCTCATGATGCAGTGGTTCTCAATCATTTTCTGTCATGCCCCCTCCTTAGGGACAGAAATGATTCACGCCGACACCCCCCCTCCCCCATCCACACCCCCACGAATTGAAATACTATTGAGAACCTGATAACATGTATATTTGTATCTGTACAAACCACTGTATGAGTTGCTGCCACCTAGTGACTGGAGGCTTGTTATCATTCAAGCATTACAGCAGTGGTGACACTTATGTCCACATTCCACTGGAAGCCCCTCACGTCCCCCTGGTACCTCACTGCGCCCACCCCCGAGGGGGGGCCCACCCCACTATTTGAGAAATACTGATATAATGAAATATGTTAAAGGTTAACACATGTGATCTCTACTGCCCTCCGATGGCTGATTGCATTGCCATATGAGTACTAGTTGGACCAATATAATTGGTCCAGTGTTTCCCAACCTTTTTTTCTGGGGACCAATATTTTAAAAGTCACAAACCTTTGCGACCCAAGTCAATAGACATTATTTTTATGTTATTTATATTATATTTATATTATTATAGACATTATAAACTCCTGGGAAACATGTTGCGAGACAACCCAAAAAAAAAAAATCTCTTACGACCCACATGTGGGTCGCGACCCAGTCTTTGGGAAACAAGTAGTAGCATATATGAATGATAATATGACCTTATCAACTGGATCAGTTTAAGATTCTTATCAAAAAAATGTTCCATCCAGGCCGAGGCTTGGAGCATAAAAAAAAAACAAAAAAAAATTAAATAAATAAAGAATGTTCCTTTCAAAACTAATTTGTTTGATCAGAATAGTCAGGTGCTAATAAAACATTTAATGATAGAATTCAAGAACAGAATGTTCCTCTGCTGTTCTCATATAACAATTTGACTCAGACAGTGTTTGGAAAGTCCAGATGTTCTAAATGACTAAAGAATGGCTTTATTTCCCTAACAACACCCGACCACTATACGTCTCCCTCTAACACACACACACACACACACACCCAGTTTAATGGAGTAGTGTCTGCTGGGCTTCCTACGTGTTATTGTGGCACAGCTGTGGTTGGCTGTCATTATGAAAATAAAGAAAACGTAGTGACTGTTGAAGAAATGTGTTTTGACATCGCCAAAGAACTCTGGCTTGGATTTGGACGAGGAGAGTTTTCCTTTGCCCGGACACACCCTGGTTTAATGTCGAAACAGATCCAGTAAAAACTTCCAGACATGACCACCAGTGACAAAACCTGTTCAGATAAAGGAAGGGCTGCGTAGCCATATGGACCGGTCATCACTGGGCCACAAGTGAAGAAAGACATACGTAATTTGGAGAGGTATCTGGCACCAGCAACTGGTGGTGGAAAATATGTTGGAACCATGATGTCACTTGAACTTTGTGGAGGAACATTTTGGGAATTAAAGAACCGTTTGGTGCTGTGTGTTTTCTACCATAAATAACAATAATAATTTACTCAGTACATGTCACTCCAGACCTCACCTTTGATGGCGTCGTGAATGACGGTGTTCTCGAGGTTTTCACACACCCACTCTTTGCAGCATTTTCCTGGTAATCGCACATGTTGTGGATGGGGACAGTCCGGAGTGGGAAGACGGCCGTCCATGGGACAGGTGGGCACACAGCTGACCCCTCCTCCTCTGCAGTGGCAGTAAGTGTCACAGGACGGTTGGAATGACTGACCGTCATGGTAAGTGACGCCGTTAACCTCGCAGCTCAGATCCTCCTGACCTGTAGAAAATACATCAATCTGGGTTACTGTACCCTGGGAAGACGAGGAATTTTGGTCGCCATCTGTGCCAGGAAAAACCAGTCTTATTGGGGCCACCTGCAGAATGATAAGAAAGAACTATTCTATGATTCTGTTCTTCATTCTTCAGATTTCCTAATGAAGTTAAGTGGGTTTTTTAAAAACATAAACAACCCTACTCAGCGTTGAGGGACATGCAGTAAGACAAAGGCTGTCTTCAGTCAACAGATGCCACGAGACACTTTGGGAAAATGAGCGAGGAGAGGAGGGGACACAGGAACTTTTGTCCTCGTCAGTGGTTATATAGTTCTAAAGGAAACCGAAGAGGGCGTTTGGAAGTTCAGGAGTGTTGTCTCTGCAATCTATCACGTTCATAGACCGGCGGCCTTTAGAGGAAAAGAGTCAACAGCCGCTCTGGAAAAAGGAGCTGGCAGAGCACAGCCGCCCGTCAGGTCGCCTCGCTCAGTTGAGCAGACTTTCAACTTCAAACACTAAGTATCGGCCAGTCCTGCCCTGGCTGACAACTTTCACCCCCTCCTTGTGGGTCTTCCCGTCTGTCCTACCCACACTGACACAGATACCTGGCTGTGTGGATGTTACAGTGGAGTCACTCACTGACACACTCCCCGGGGTCTCCAGGAAAGCTGGCGCTGTAGTCACACTGCAGTCCTCTCCGGCTGTCACAGGGAAACGTCTTGGTGCAGGACTCTCCTCTCTGCCTGGCACACACCTGGCAGCAGCTGCAGCCGTCCGGCACCAGAGGGACTCCGACAGGGCACTGCGGGGCAGAAGCTGGGCAGAGGCAGGGGCCGTCACACAGTTGGCAGAACACCTGTAGGAAGAACATGGGCAGAGGAGCGAGGATGAAAAGAGGAGGTTGTGAATCTGCAAAGTAGGACTGTAACTTCAGTTCATCATGGGATCATCTAGGGGATTTCTATTGGTGCTTTAATTTTAATTTTAACTTAAAGTTTAAATAAAATTGTAGATTTTCAGGATAACACACCACATAAAATCAATAACTGTTTTTTTTCTTCTTCTTTCTCCAAAACAATCACAATTTTTATGATTTGATTGTAAAAAAAAAGTAAAGTTGCCCAAATATAACTGTACACAATTATTTAAAAAAAGAGTTAAATATTTGAACACAAACATAAATATTAAACTGATCTAAAATCTATGACTTCGATAATAAACTTCAAGAAAAAGCAAAATGTCTTTTGAGCCAGAATCATCAAATATAGTAGTTTTTGTATTAGTTATTATCATCCAAAATGTTTATAATTAGGGGAAAATTAAGTATTCACAAGTGTGAGTAACTTAGTGAATCATATTATGAAAACATACTTCATAATATACTTTATTATCAGTCATTATTCAGTCCCAGTTTTGTTCCTCTGATATAATACTTCATAATATACTTTATTATCAGCCTAATTTCAGCTTTCAGTCCCAGTTTTGTTCCTCTGATATAGTAATAAATAAAAAATAAAAATCAGAGTTTAAAAGTTTAAAATAAAACTGAAATAAAAAACAGAGTTTAAAAGTTTAAAATAAAACTGTTGTTTTCTCTATCATACAGCTGTCAACAACCACTGAAATTAATGTTATCTTTATATGAATCTATTCACATGTAACATGTTCAAATTCAGCATTTTTAAGTTAATCTGGTAAGAAGCATAAAACAACTGAACATAGAGACGTCCCCTAAGTGACTTCAAGCATAAACATAGTTATTAATCATACAAATTAAACCATTAAACTCATAATAAGCTTTAGCCTAAACAGGTCACATGACATCACCTTCACTGACTGAACCCCTGAGATCAGACCCTCCCTCGGTCACACACCAAACAAAACCCCCATAATGCCTTATTTTAGAAACAACTAGTGTAAACAAACATGGTCAGGTCTTACCTGTGTGGCCACACACAGCAGGACAGCAGCAATAACACAGTCACACAGCAGTCGATCCATGGGGGCTGCAGCTGATGGAGCTCAGTGTGATGGGATGGTGTGACCGGTGCAGTTGTTTGCTAACTGCTCATTCTTGTGCCTGCTGACATTTATAAAGTCTGGACTCTGATGTCACGGGCTGACTACCGTGTAAACATCCACTGGACCGGCATCAGAAATGTTTCACATTCCTCCCCACTACTGCCCATTTCCACTCTCAGACACACTCACACCTCCACCCTCCACTCTTCCCCACTTTTTTTCCCTCTCCTCCCTCTTTTTCCAGTCTTGTGGTGCTTTAGGTTTGCACAGCTTAACATGAGCTGAGAGGAGAAAAATACATTAGCCCGGCTGTCTACACCAAGTCAAACACCCTCCAGGGCTTCTGTGGTTATGACGCTGACATGAGGTGGTGTGTTTAAAGCCTGATATAATGGCTGACCCTTTAAGTGAGGGGGTCACAAAGCATATATGGTCACTACTTATATTTTATCACTAAAAACTAGGCTAAACTCGAATTCAAAAATGACACGTCGTCTCACGATTCCCCTCTGGTTTGTATGAGCTGAAGAAATGTCTGGAACAGACCTGGTTCTCAGACTGATTATAAGTGAGCTGCCAAAACATTACACTGATGTTCACAGTAAGACTGACTCACTACAGACTGTGGAGCTATCATTAACATAAACAGGATGAGTGTGAGTCCACCTCAGAGTCCGACCAATCTGTCAGACCGGAACCAGACCAAAAATACAGCTGAGGGTGATTAATGATGAATTTTTCCTCATGGGGACAACTGGTCTGACAAACAGTACAAGTCACTCCAGTGGTGGTGCAGGACATGTTTAAGGACCCTGAAACTGTGGTAAAGTGTGCAGTCTGAGTGGCAGATGTGTTCAGGATTGAGTACAGGTGGAAGTCTTTTTGCACTTGTGGTGGAAAGGATGACAAAAGCGGTCAGGAAAGAGTCTCTGCAGACCACAATGTTTACAGATGACATCATTTGTAGTGAGAGTAAAAACCAGTGGAAGATAACTTGCTGCAGGTGTTTTTGCCAGGAGGAATGAAAACAAAAGTACTGAACCAAATACTTTTCTATTTATATACATTGATTTATATTTGAAAGGATACACAGCTCCCTTTTGGTGATATTATCTAAGTAAAGCATTTTTTGGAGTTTCAGGAGTGACATAAAACATAAACAGTATTACTTTCTTTATGTTTTCTTTATGTATTTTTTTTACAGTGACCAGGCTGCTCCTAGATATATGTATTATATAGTTTTATATATATAACTACCTCAAAGGGAGCGGAGCTTCTGAGAAGGCCTAAAGAAGAAGTGAGTGAGAGAAATTAGCATGTTAGCTTAGCCTAGCCTAGCCTAGCCTAGCCTAGCCTAGCCTAGCCTTGGAGGAGACTGAATGAATGAATATTTTAAAACTACATACCTTTTACTCCTGAACTTAACCTTGAGGAAATTTGAGGCAACTGTTGGTTCACTTTGTCCAGTGAGGCTTTTCTTTTGTGTGTAATGTTGAGTCAAATAATAGTTGAAGGTGAAGAGCCCACAGGAGACGATCAGGAAAATGGAAGGTATGTGTCCCAGACAGGCAGCTGTCACCCATGGATGTTATCACCCACACATAGAGTTCACTTGTATTTATGTTTTAATTAAATTAATAACTATTTTTATTTTATAAATGTTATAAATGATATTGAACAGTCTAAACAAGATATACATGTTTGATATTGAACAGTCTAAACAAGATATATCTTTTTGGGTTAAATCATTTTGGTTGATGAAAACAATACTATTTAAACATAGATCTGCCTTGGGAATCATCTTATTCCAGTAAAACCTATATTAAATAAAATTGATGAAAACAATACTATTTGCCTTGGGAATCATCATATTCCAGTAAAACCTATATTAAATAAAAACCCATTCATTAAAAAGTAAAAACATTTTGAGAGATTTGTTAGTGAGTGCAGAGCTGCTGAAAAGGTCCCAGACAGTGGGACACCACTCTTACTGACGGTGAACACTGTTGAAGGAAAGATCTTTCACAATGACCCTCATTCAGTTGGGATGAATATTTTTTTTGGTATGTGATGGTATGTGGGAGAAGCCCATTGGATTCCATGATGATTCACAAACGCAGGAATTTCAGGTCAAAGTAAAAAAACAAAAAAAAAAAACAAAACATTTTTATGTCTTCTTAAAATAAAACAGTAACGAGGCGATCCAGGTGCTGAAAGAGGAGACGACTCCTCCGCCAAATTTGTCACAGTGGAGCAGAAATGTTAAACACATGTTCAGAATTTTGTTTAATAGCCCAAAAATACCTCCAAGTGGAGGTACCAGAAAATACAGTCTGAGAATGTTGTAATGATACCTGGGAGAAATGACAGGGCCAATGAGTAACCAACTAATACTGCCTTTCATCAGTACTTCAATTCTAGCTTATATAGCAGGAGTGGGCAAAATGAGGTTTAAAATATGACTGGTGGGCCGGTAAAGGTTAGTTGGCTGTAAAATACAGTAGTGCAAGAATAAACCTAAACTTTCAAATATAATTTGGTAGATTTGATGTCTAATGCCATTCAGTGGCATCGACAGAAACATGAAACAAATGGATTGACATCAGTCTTAACCCTAACCTTGTGTTAGTGTTTAGCTGCCTGGAAAATTTTGGAGCGTCCAAATGTTGGAGTACATGGAGAAACACAAAGCAGAACAACAATAACCCCACGCAGCATCTTCTAATATCCAACATATTTTTAGGAATGAAGTACATTCACCTCCTGTGCCCCGTACATTGTGACCTCAGCGGACCCATAAAAAAATTGTACCTCCCGGTTCGTGGCTTTGGTTTGCATTAGTTAGCTCTGACAGATTTGTGTGCGAGCTATAACCGAGTCCTTTTCCTGGACAATATGAGACACAGGCATAGAAAATGTAGAGCAGCTTCAGAGCCGGAGGTTTTTTTGGTGTTGGCTGACTGGCTCTGTCAGACTTGCAGGTTTCCTTTCATGAAGTATTTTATGAGTATTTGCCATGACTTTTGGAACAGTTGGAAATAACCAACCCAAAACCAACACACAGCCGGTCTAGTTTTAGAAGACCAAGTCAGAAAGCATGTGTGCGACGTCTTCTTCCCACTATGTGTAAGTACAGGGTTGTAGTGACTCATTGTTCCAGTAAAGCTGTTATTCAAATTCAGTGACATATACAGTATGACTGGCACCGTTGCATCACCTGCACAATCAAAAATGAAACTTTCCTGCTCAACATGCTTCTTTTTATCTCAAAAATATTCTGTGAAGCTGAAAAATCACGCACTGAGGTCGGCTTTAAAAGAAAAAAGAAAAAAGAAAAAAAAGAAAGTATTTCCCCTGTAGTGGGTGACAACAGTCACTTCTGAAGCATCAGGTTTCACTGAGACATTTTGATTGACCAAATCCACATGAGTCATTATGGTATATAGTGTGAAACACATTTGTGAACCAGACACAAAAAGTCCAAAATGAAAAACAAAAATTGCAGTTGGAAAGGATAAATAAAACAGTGAAAGCTGAAAGTTTTCTCACTTTCATTTGTTTCTTCTGAGAACTGTGTAGTGAAACTGCAAAACGTTACACAGGAAGCACAGGAAACCATCTCTCCAAACTGTAGTATGTGCTCTAAATATATCCAAAACAACAAACTATGACATGATTTAACTCCATCTAACATTTTAGCCAGAGACTAAATATGGTTGTTACAGAATTCCACACACCGGGAGTCTAAAATAGTCTGAGAACAGAATTGAAAACCACAAAATGAAAACATACCAGAGAAAGGGAATTTTCATTGTGTACGTTCTTTTGCATGTGTGTATTACTGCCATTTATGTGATTAATGCGTCAAGCTGCGGTCCAGATGGAAGCAGCTACAGTAGGACACACACACATACGGCCAACATGGATCACTTCAGCCAAAGTCTAAATGTTTTCCTTAAAATGACACCTGAATTCCAGGCATTCCGGCTCAGTGTGTGAAAATCCAACTGTGTTGCCAAAGGAACATTTAGCGCTGACAGCGAGGACATCATCCTGACCAAAGGTCAACTCCTGACGTACATGGGGGAGAGGTCACTGCCGTGTCTACAGCCACGGAAGAAAAGCACGGATGGCCGTGACACTGGTTCACACCCAGTTGTTGTGACAGCTGCGTTGACAGATGTGTCACCGCGTGATCTTTCGGGTGTCGTTGAATACTGAGTCTCATGGGATGTGCATGTTGTGTCTATCCATCTATGAAGTTTGGTTAAAAGCTGAAACATCTCTGGTCCCAGAGGACAATCGCTGCTAATGTGAGTGAAACAGTGAAAACTACAGCAAAGTTCTTTTCTGTCTTTTCTCATCAACATTATGTTCCCAAATGGCAAAAAAAAAAAAAGTACATGAGGGCGGTGCAGGGCCTGTATACATTGTCTTAATAGTGAGTTATCATTATGGGTAATGACAGAAGGGGGCAGCGACTCGTAACTACCACCAGAGGGATCCAAGTTTGTAGTCAACCATGTAGTCGCCAAAATCTGGGTTCAGTTGTGTGGAGAAAAGCAACCTGTCCCTTTACAGTCAATAAGACTTAGCTAAGAAATACAAGCTAATACATTTCAGAGGCCTTGACCCACCACACGGTTAACGCCGGCTGTGGTGCAAACTAGAAGCATGTCCTTGACATACCTATAGGCTGAACTAGGAACTGCACAAGCAAATCATCAACCTTACAGTGACACATATGACCGGGATGTAAATTTGACGGACATATTCCCATCCTCTCATCCTGTTCCTCTGTTGTTCTAGTTCAGGTTCAGGCTCAGGTTCATGGGTTGTTTTCGGAGAGCTGATTGCAGGAACCGGGGCAGAAATAGCCTTCAGCATTCACTGGCACACCTAAGCCAACAAAACATTCATTTCTGGCATTAGCTACTAAAAATAAACCAGAACAAATAAATAAGCAACAAGGACTCACTTCATGGCAGGAGCCCACTTCCTTGCACGGGACACAGTGTCAATATTTTTAGCTGAGATTGTCACTAAATTCAGGAAAGGAAAATCTGGGTGCAAAGAGCTGAGATGTCTGAGACAGGGCCCCTGCTCACCGAGCTTAAATGCATTTGCAGAATTCCCAGAAAGTGAAATTTTCTTCTCATGTTCTCTGCTGGGAATGATATAAGAGAAATACTAAGGTGGACTACCGCTGAGGATATTTAACCATCAGGTATTTGTGAACTTGAACTTCTGCTTTCTCTGGTGACCTCACAAACTCACTCCCTCTCGTGTCACTGACAAAGTCAATTATTCCAGTAACTTTCCAGAGACAGCAGTAGACACCAGTCTAGGTGGATCTGAAAGCAGTGAGGACACTGTGCGGTAAAACAGAAACACCAGAGAAACCTAATTATAGATGAAGTGGTCCAGTGATGACACAAACATTAGTTAGAAGCAGAGAGTTTTTGTTTTTTTTGTTTTTTTTTTCAGGATGTGGTCACAGCCCATGACTTCTCACAACATTTGCACATTGTTAGAAGTCACAGTTCTTTTTAAATTCTGGTAAATCAATTTACAATAAGCCTTGTGCACGTGTGTGTGTTAATATTAGATTAGTGGTGAGATATTTTATCTCACCACTAATGGTGAGAAAAATATCTCTTAGATCACCCTGTTACTAATTTAATTACTTTGGTAGTATTAAATATACTAATATATGTATATTTATACACAAACACGTATATATTTACACTTTACAGGCAAACATGGAGTGACTTACAGAACACAAAATCTAGACACATTAAACCCCTCAGTACGGTATGATTATTCCATACATCATATAATAGTAATAAAAATCATTTTCCGACACGTTACTTTTCTTCTAAAGACACTGTGTGAGTAAGAGTAAAAAAAAATTACAGTTGAGTTCCCCCTGAGCACTTTTCACTCTCTGAAATGTGACGCTGTACAGAAGAATAAACACTGACATCTAGTGGCCAGGTTTGTTAGCTACATTAACTATTTTATCTGTTTTTCGGCTCCACCCACGTCTTAACGTTCACAGCTGCTGCCGATTGTTGATGATTACATTGTCGCGTTGTTCATTGCCAGTTGTTTTTAGCAGATAGTTTCATGGTGTTACTGCACACCAAGACCTTTGACCCCAACCTTCGTCCCAAATACCTGCTACTTGTTAATCTGCTAATCTGGTAAATCTGGGAAGAACGCAGTTTGTATGAACTCTCAAGCGTCTTACACTGATTCTGTCTCAATCGTTTGAAGTGAAACGTTATTGGCATGGACGTTTTTTTTCTAGGTATTTTCTATTAATTTTTTATCGCATTTTATTGTGTGTGCAAAGGTGACTGTTGAATATTAAATAATAATGAAATAAGGACTTTATCTCTTGTCTAGTTAATTTTTATTGGTTGTCTGGTGTCATAAACATAGATTTGGAAACTACACTGTGATAAACAGAGTAATGACACTGTCTGCAACATAGTTCCTGGTTAATTAAAAGAAAAAAAAAGTTACCCTTAGAGCATCCCAGATAAAGTCTCAACCTCAACCATATGTGATTTGGAAACAGATTTTGAGACGTCAGTGAAAAGGCTGACAGGTCACACATGGACACATGAAGTGACCGAAGGGTGAGTGAGTGCAGCTGGTGTCTGATGAGCACAGGAGAAAAATGTGCCAACAGAGGGAAACTGGCTGAAGGAAGTGGAAGTGGAAGTGGAAGTGGAACTAACGCGCCACGATTTTGGGATGTTGACGCAACTATTTTTAACAGAACACCTGACTGACACTGAGGTTTCTGCAGAAGTGACGTAGAGATTCTTAATGGTTCAACGGTGCTGAGTGTCGAGTCACAAACCCTGATGGGAATCAGTTCCTCTGACGTTGTGTTGAACATATTTGTAATGTCTAATCCAAATATTTGAGTAATTAAAAAAAAAAAAAAAAACCCTCCCCTGTGCCACTTTGACCAACCCGTTCTACCAGTGACGCCACAGACAAAACAACACTGTGATAGAGCCATAATAGGAAAAGCTACGTCTTTGACATCAAACTTAATGAGAATTTCAATACAAACACACACACACACACACACACACACACACACATCTGTTGAGAATTTAAACATCAATAGATGTTTAAACTCCAGACATTTCTAAAAACGATTCAATTCTTTCCTGGTTTTCTTCTGCTGGTGCTTCAGTTATAATCAAATATAATTTACTTTAGCTAACCCAGGGATTCTAGAAGTGCGGTGTGTGCACCCCTGAGGCTGCACGAGCTGCCACTAGGGGCTGCGCGAGATACTTTTTTATAATTTGTTTTTATAATATATATAAATTAGATGGGATTTTCCGGCAGAATAAAAAAATATAAATAAACATTTCCTTTGTAAAATTTAATATAGTCTATCCAGAAATATGAGTCAAAAAGTTCTTTGATGAACATCACTTAAAAAAATTATTTTAAAGGTGCCTCTCTTCAGTAACTCAAACGCGCAGGTGCATCTGTTCAGTAACTCAAACACAAACATCATTTAAAAAAAATATTTTAAAGGTCTGTTCAGTAACTCAAACACTAAAACGCAGAGCTTTTACAGTAGGTTCATTGTTAGCGCGGCTAAGACACAAAGGTTTTACAGTAGGTTCATTGTTAGCGCGGTGTTCTAGAAGTACTAGTCAACAAGAGGGTAAAAAAAAAAGTACCGGTACTGTTACTGTTGCTTTTTGAATCAGTTACACCTGCAACAATATTCAAGTGGGTTCGATGACCAGGGTAAAAAGAACTGATTATTATGACATTGTTTATGAAGACTGTATTAAACAAGTAGCTCTCTGTATTATTAGGTGCCAAAAAAGGGTTGGTGACCCCTGGTCTAAATTGACCCCAGGTGTGAATGAGGCCCTGTGATGGAACAGTCTTGTGTTTGCAGCCCAGTGACCACAGTACAGGTCCACAGTTAGAGGAGCAGGGACCAGTTCCCCCCCAGTCAGCACCACAGGGAGGTCTGACTTCTCTGGCTCCTCTTTATGGAGAACAGATAAGGAAAGCAGCCGCATTCTCTGCGGCTCCAAACCCTGGTGTGACATGATTAATTAGCCCTGGAGTAAAGCTCTTCTTACACGGCCGCAAAGCTGCTGCTGCTGCTGCTGTTGTTTCCACCTTAGCCCGTTAATCCTCCAGCCTGTCCCGTATATAGACACTGTAAGACCCCGGGGCTGCTCCACACACCGGCCCAGGTCCCACATCAGCACCGGCGCCGGTCCTGCCGCTGCTGTTTCACGGTCCTGTTTATTATTACATGTCAGTTTGCCGATCAAAGGCGTGTCCATGTGTGAGTCATGCTTATAGGCAGACGCGCTGCCGCGATTAGCGTCATCTCTCCGCTGCTCGGCGCTCTGTACACCGGCGCACCCACCGGCACCAGACTTCTCTCCACCATGGACGAACACACTCCTGAGAAGGTGGTCTTCAACAAGCCGAAGGTACGACCCCCTCCCCTCACACCCGGTTCCACGTAATGTCACTTTTGATAGCATTTCGAGCGGCAGGAGCGGCAGGCGAAGTGTTGGTTGGTTTTACGCACGCCGTATTTACGGAAGAGAAGCCGTGGAAAGGTAGAGCCGGAGCCCGCGTCCGATGGAACCGAGTCCCGGACCGGTTTCTCCCGCGACTGTTTGTCATGAGTTCTGAGGAGAAGTCCGTTTCTACTGTAGCGTTGAACTACAACAGTCAAGTGAATCACAGAATAGTTCTGGTGACTTGTGCCGACATGTGTTCACCGCATAGTATCATGTTCTTTTGGGTTTTTTTGTTTTTGTTTTGTTTTTTTGTTCTGACTGCCAAACTGAGAGCAGGAACTTTGGTTCTGCTGCTCCTGCTCTAGAATCAACTCTCAGAATAAAGAACGAATGTATGTGACAGATATAATTATACATAAAAAAAAACAAATAAACATTTTTCATTGTGCTTTTGACACTTAAAACAGCCTTTTAAATCAAAGCTGAAGCCTCAGCCACATGTGATGAGTCAGGTTTGAGCTAAGACTCAGACTCATTCAAACCATCAACATGATAGAACTTTAATAATTCCCTTCAGGATATTAAAGGTGGTGAAGAACGCTGAGAAAACTAACAAGACAAGAATAGAAAAGTAAACAAAAGAAAAATAAAGATTAAGAACAGCAGAGGTGTTGGTTACGAAACATGACAACGTCCTGGTTTCAGGAACACAACCACACCTGTGACTAACCAGGTGTCTGGTCTGAAACACTGTTAATGAGTGGCTTTATTTAAATCTCTCTTTTTAAAAAAAAAACTATCGGAGATTATGGCCATTTCAGAAGACAGTAATAAATAAATCTTAAATTTTGAGGTCAGATGGTCTGTGATAATGAAGAAGCCTAAACTAATGACTGGTGTTTTTGGATTTTGTCACGTGAAACCATATGACCTTCCTGAATAACGCCTGCTGGTCCTACTGTTAAAATTCACCGCTATGTGTCAAAATGCTAAGACAACATAGTTCTGTAAGTACTACAGTACTATAGTATTGTAGTAGTTTTCATAATCAGAATGTTTATTGGTCTACTGTAAAGGCTCAAAGGATTTGCTTTGCCTTTTTTAAAAAGAAATTAAAACCCAACTGATTGAACGTTGTCTGTACAGAGAAGGAGAAATGATCGCACAGTAATTTGATGCTGATCAACAAAGAGCAGGGAGGAACTCCACTGAGGTTACATGTAGTTACATGACAGTAAGGTGACAAATGTAACACTTACGTCTCTCATGTAAGATTAAAATGACTGGCAGGAATGGAAATGACAATCAATAAACTGGTCTTTTAACTGTGTCCAGTCACCTGAACAAAAAAACTCTCTTATATTCTTGGTCAATGGGAATGTGGTGAGAAATATTCAACCACGACCTTTTTTGGATGTCACTTCCTTCTACACACAGTCATGTTGAAGGAGGTTCTCCTCCTGGTGTTGGACCAACAACAGGGGGACGTCAGGAATAACATCCTGTCGTTCTGTATTACGTCGTCCACGTCAGACGCCTGGACACGGAGTACTGTATGTACTCAGTGGTGACCTTTGGAGTCTTGTATAAGTGAACACGCGTGTATCTCCCACGAGCTGAGAAAGAGGAGAGGAAATGGGAGGTTTAGAGACAGAGGAGAGGACACACA